TATGAGGTTTGAAAAAAGATGGCACATGAAACTGAACTCAGAAACAATCAAGCTGAGTATCACCAAAGCTAAAGTTACCAACAATTATTGTACAGTAGTGTACTTACGGCCACCGTAATTGTATGGATGTAAACAGAATTTCTAAAGCTACTAATTTAACCTTGCGATTCATTGGATGCTATCGGTATTTTGAAGTACTACTCGTGCTTGTGAGTAGTGTGCTTGCTGCACCCATGAAGAGGTAGCTGTTAGATTCTCACGGTATCCGGGATTGGATTAAAGGATTTATTATTTTAACTACAGAAGAGGCAAACAGACTGTTGAGCCGTTTGACCGCAGATGCAAGGGCTCATGAAACTACTGACCAGCTGTTGCACATTGGATGTCTCGCTCCGTATAATCGCATTTCCCCCCTGTCCATGTTGATCTTCCGATAAAGGACTCTCCTCAACCCTGCACTGGTCTTGTGAATAAATACCACTAGTGGTTGGCAAAATGGGGCCTGAAAACTATGAGACGGTGTCCCCTAATTTTCCTTTAGTTTTCCACAAATTTGAAATTTTGTAACTCTGATCCGTTTACCAGAATGTAACTACTTCGACTCGACTCTCACCGCACTCTTCAGACAATTCTTTCTGCTCACATCGTCTTCCTCCTCCGTTTTTTTCTGAGATCGTACAAGACTAAGGTCAAGATTTGAGATGTAACCATCTGCATGGAATTTGTCGTGTAATGATTTGCATGCTTAGTGTTCTGCCTAACCTTTTGCACTTGTTTCTATAAATACAATTAGACCTGCTTATGGTTTTCCTCTTCTCACCGCATGTCTCTTCTCATTTTAACACACAGACCATGGAACAGGGCGTGAACGAGTTTGGTGTTGAACATATCATCATAGATAATCTGCAATTTCTTCTCGGCACGTCCGGAAATGTTTATGAGGAACGATTCCAACGCCAAGATCGATTTGTACAGAAATTGCGTTCATTTGCCTCATACAAACGTGCTCATCTCACCATTGTGGTGCATCCACGAAAGGTCAGTTTCCCATTCGATCTGTGTCTAGTTCATCGGCTCGATGTAGGAAGATTTTGATCGACACCTTTCGATATCTAGTCTATATGGGGGTGGTAAAATCGCGCAAGAGGCGGACAATATTCTCCTCCTCCAGACGGAAAACAATACGGCTTATCCGAAAAAATTCCTCCAGGTTAGTCATACTTGTGAAAAATAGGTACTTCCAACACTATGCACCTTTTCGTACCGGAACTGTTTGAATTTCGAAATTGTTGAAATGGAAAAGAAACCGAATGCACCATTTTTCCCGTTGCAATGTTATTGAGTAATAGGTAATGGGTGGAACAAAACTAAGGGTGTTCAAAATAGGACCTGGCATTGGTGTATGAAAACCCTAACCAGGAGACTCATAGTCACATAGGTCGCGCAAGGCTCCCTGCCTGAGGACCTTGGGATAATCGTAACCTGTAGTTTAGGACACCGAGTGATCTGGTTTAGTGTCGTAAACACTTGCATTCGTGCATTTTCTCTCAATTTCCTTGCAACCTTTGTTCACTGAAATTCTCCATATGCTCTTCGACTGTACATTCAACTTTTCTCTCTTTCGCCTACCGTCTCATCCAAATGGACAGCCAAAAGATAGCAAACAAAACCCCGCATGAAAGTGTATGGTTAATGGTGGTACAAACTCTACTGAACTGAACTGGTTATTGAGCCAGTTTTCGGAGCCCGTTCTCACTGACCTGACTTGTTCTGCTCATTACAATCAGTACCCGGGGTGTAGAGTATCAAGCTTGGACTGGCCCATTTGATTGTTCAGAAACACCAGGCACTCTTGATGGTACCCGGGGTTGTTACCGGGGAAGAAGACTACATCCGCTAGTTGTCCGGGATGCTACTGACTCCTTCCTTGCGAGATACACATAAACTCAGAGCCATTTTAACTTGTACATGTGATTCTGGGTCTCTCCATGGTGTATTTTAGTGCACTGTTTCGTATCCTGATGCTTACTTTCTTTTAATAAGGTCCCGACAACCAAGCAGAACATATATTGTCTTCATCGAGGGATGAGGGATAGAGAAATTTATAGAGAGAATATTTGTATGAATGCTGATGCGCCGGTAGCCAAATTGTACTACAGTTCTTCAAACTGGTCAATCCTAATGCAAGTGTGTTTATTTTGATCTGATTAAACGATTGTTTACATTATCAGTCAGTGAGTTGATAATCTATGGGTTGAATGCAGTGAAAGGTCATGGATGATGTGGAAACAATATTTACCGACCAGGGAGGTCACCGAGGAATATGTGCCTCAAATAACGTAATTCATCGTAGAACATCTATGTGCTATCGTTAGTGGTAGACCGTGGCGGTCTGCGATACCATTTGATAAGGTTGTCGGATTATCTGAAAGCTTTGCTCTGAAGCCTGAATCTCTCGCTGTCTTTTCTGGTGTGGCTGTGCATCTCGAGTGCAATTGTGATTTTTTCACTCAGGCGATCACATTCACTGTCAGACGCCATAGTGATGAACAGTACAACCTGCAGTCAGTCCACGTCAGCTGGGAAATACTCCCGTGTAAATACACGTGAAGCGTCTGCGACAGATTTCAACGCCCCATGTTCCAATTAACTGCTTAACATTGATCAATACAGTATATACTCAACATTGCACGGTTGTGCTTTCTCTATGACCGTGCCCAGATGAACAACGCATGAGTCCGAATGAAATCTTCCCCGTGCGCGTGATCTTGTTGCTTTCTCATCCTCTTTTCAATATAATCAAGGATACGCATTGTTTGTCTAACCAGAGTAATGGGAATGTGGATAACCCTGGTATCCAAATTCAAGGGTTGGTAACTTTTTCGTTGCTCGGTTCAGTATGACGTTTTTTTTTTTGGGGGGGGGAGTAGAGGCTTACACGGTAACGGTTCCCCTATCTCAAGATGGAAGGTCTGATTCAGACTAAGTACCAAACAAGTCACGGTAGAACAATCCTTGCAACAAAAGAATCAGGTCATGATTTGTACGTGGGTTGCTCGGGCCACTTTTGGAGCCTTCCACTAGCCCATGTCTGACTAGCAAGGCAGCGGGACGGTGTTGCGATCCCTTGAGGGCTGGTTTCCAGTTTATCCGACCACATGCCTTTCGCACAGGGTCAAACGTTCAAGGGGATCAATTGTACCTCAATGCCCAATGAAGCCAGTGATCATAGCGAGAACCAAGAAGTAATGTGTGGTTTGTGCGCCTATTCTTTTTTCATTTGGAATTAAGGTTTTCAAACAAATATTCTATAGGTTAACTGCTAGTGGTCAGTCCGGCTATAGCCCTCGATTTTGCGCCCTCTCACTCTGATACCTGCCACCTAAAGGCAGTGAGTAGGGCTATTTGAGAGACTCCGTCATATAGGGGCATTTATAGTGACATACAAGTGAAGGTGGGGGGGGGGTCAATCAATCCAACCATACTGAATCTTTCGGAGGCTTTGCCGCTCCTCACACTAAAGTATTACAAAAAAGAACGCGGTCCACAAAGTCATTCAAAGACCGGCTTGGGGCTACTATGACAACTTATCATTTAAGGTTCTAAGACGATTTCCATCGCATGAAATCGCGCAAGAAAGCGAAGTTTTTTACAGGCAGTTACGTTGCAGTGTGCGAGCTGTGATCTGTATGCCTATTCGTACTACGACTTCGTAAGGCGAAGATTCACATCTGACATTCATGTTTAAAGAACTCCTAATCAAGTTATCTATTCAATGCACATCCGTGGGATGATCAGGATCGAGTGATTTGGTCATTTGAATTTTGTGTCTTACTAGCAAGTCAGGCCGTGATTTCAACTTCCTTTTAAAGAATGATTTACCCTTTACGATAACAGTCGTGGGTTTCTTTCTATCTAAATTGTTCCTTGTTTCATGATCTGGTGTATGATTGTTCACTTTTCTGTTCGGTATAATCTCGAACAAGTTTGGAATTTCCAGGCTCGTCTAGCGAGAATAGACGGGAGCTAGAAAAAATTATCTGATTAGTTTTAAGAGACACTAAATTGAACAGCTTGCAAGAGGTCGTCAGTACATGGGCATTTTGAGTGTAGTGATACGTTCAGGCTCCTTTGTGTCGTTGATTTCTTCTTCATCACCACTGAACAATCTCTAAGCCCCCTTTAACTTACGTGTTCACCGTATCTCAGTTTTGCGGAAACCTTTTTAGCGCTAAGTGCTGTAAACTGTCGTTATTGGTTTGCCTGAATAGTCGTTCAATCATACTGGGTTTCATGTCTCATGCATGAGCGCCTTTTCTGTGTGTTTCTATTTTTTGGTACCTGTCTCTCCCATGGGTTTGCTTCGATGTGTGTCAGAATCACTTAGTGATCTGATAATGCCCATTTAGGCCGCTGAGGTAGTGTTAGTTCTACAGAAAATCACACTATATGTGTGCATTGGTGATGAACTAATCGGCGCGGTAAACCAATCAGGCTTCAATTCTGGCCTGCTTCTCACCAATGCTGGGATTGACGAATTTGCATGCAAGTTTGTATCTCTAATGCATAGATCATGTACCATAACGGCGATTTCCCAAGCACGGAATCGCAAAGCAGAAAATACCATCTGGACACTATTCTCTGAACTGTTAATGTTCTTCCATGTGTTCCAGTAATGGCAATGATGTATCCGTTTGATTCTGGTTAGGAATTGACGTCAGTTCAGGTACATTCTATAGTTCATGCACTCATTTCATTGAACACCACATATTGCATTTCTTCACCATGTGAAAATTACAGACTGAAAAGTTCCTAGACATAATAATAATATAGACATAGTAATATAATCATATGATTTGCGGTGTTCTGTGTCAGAAATTTAGGTTTCGTCACCTCAAAACCATAACTTCTGCGTATGTTTCCTTTCCAGTTCCTCACTTCACATTGTGTGCCCGTCAATGAGTTAGCTCAAAACACATCTCATTCAGTCGGCTATCACGTATTATCTGCGAAGTAGTTGGTACTTGGTCTATGATTGCTCATCTGCATTCTAATGCTGACTCACTCACTCACTCACCATTTTCACGGATCATCTGTCTTTTGTGAGTGTGTGTGTGTGTTTGTGTGTCTGTTTCGGCCATGAGAACAACACTTTCATCGAGTATTCACGCATGAGCAGCTAGTCGACGATCGCACTCTACCCCGTTCTCCCTTCGGGTCTCGATTTCGGTGTATGCAAGTGTCTGGTGTTTGCTTAGAGGGTATCAGGACATACTTAGAAGCGAATCAACTGTTGAACTGATTTTGCTGTCAAATGAATTGAAAAAACATTACCCTCTTGATTTACGTGCTGCTGTTGCTGCTGTTGTTGTCGTGGCCTTGTATCCGGCTCAGTCCCGTTTCTCTTTCGTCCCAGATCGTCTGTCC